ATTATTTATATTATCTTTTTATAGTTCCCTTTATTATTAAGGGTTTTTATAATCTCTATAAATCTTTACTTATAACCTTCTTATTATTAGTTATAATTATTATTATAGCTTAGGGCATTATATCTATTATAAATATAATTTATAATTTATTATATTTAAGTATAAATTAATTATACCTATCCTAAATAATATAAATACTAATTAGTCTATTTATAAGTTATATATTTAGATTATTCTAATATAATTCTTTCTCTTTTAATTACTTATATAATATAAGATTTATATAGAATCCTAGGGTATAGATTATATCTTTAAGATCTAGAGAGGTTTAATATTTATTAGCTATTTTAGGATATATTATAATTATACTTACTTTCTTATATAGGCTATACTTTGCGCCAGTCTATAATATATTATTAATTAATATATATATAGTAAATTAAGATTAGTTATTATAGATATATATACTTATACCTAAATCTAGGATATAACTATTACTTAATATATATCTTATAATACTATTTATATTAAATAATTTACCTACTTTTTATTAAATATATATATTATTTATATTAATAGCTTAGCTTATTATAGAGCTCTTAGTTATATACTTATTCTTATTAAGTTTAATATATATATTATAAATATTATATATTTAATAAATAATATTAATATTATATATCTCTTCTCTCTTTATATAGAGCTTATTTACCTTCTTATAAGTCTTATTTATAGTACTTTTTAATATAAGGATTCTCTTCTTTACTTATTTAAATCTCTTTATAATAGTATTATCTAGTTTCTATTCTAGCTTCTAGATATACTTATTAATATATAAGTATATATTAAATAAATATTATTTATTATATATATATTTATCCCTTTTTTTTAGCTTATAAGGCCCTTAAGTTTAATCCTTATTAGCCTTCTTTTTAGCCTTCTTCTATCTATTTTTATCTTATTCTTTATATATTATAAATATTATATCTATAAAGTTAGTATACTTACTTAATTATATTATAAGATATTATTAAAAATCTATTAATAGTTTATTAATAATTATTATTTATAGGTCTTTATATTAAAGCTTTAACTCTATATTAAATATATAGCCTTTATAAAGTTAATTAATATAGCTTAAAAACTATAGTATTAACTATATCTTATTTATAATAACTTTAATCCTTATATCTTTATAGTTAAAGTATATAGATTCCTAGCTATTTAACTATTTATTTAAATTAGTCTTTAATATATATTTATTATTAATATTTTTTTATTAATTTATTAGCTTAGCTTTATAATATATCTTTATTAGTACTAGATATATTTATAACTACTTAATTATCCCTTTTATAGTATTATTATTAGTTATAATAATTAGGAGATTAGTCTATATAGACTAAAATATATAGCTTAAAATATAAGAGATCCTTATCTTTAACTATTTATATTTCTTTTATTTATAGTAATACTCTTTATTAGCTTTAATATATATAATTAGTTAATATCCCTCTAGGTCTCTAAGTAATTATACCTCTTTATTATAGTTTATAATATCTAGAGCTATTAGTGGCTCTAGTTCTATATTATTATTTAAATTAATATAATCCTAGATATTATATAAATCTATAATAATTTATAGGGCTTTATACTAAAGATATTAGTCTATACTATTTCTTAATAAAACTAATATCTTTATATTATTTAATATCCTATCTAGAATATTTATTATCTTTAGCTTATTAATAGTGTATTAGTAGTCTATATATATAGTATAGGTTTATAAATATTATTTTAGCTTAATAATATTATTAATATAGTAGTTCTATATCTTTAGTGAGTCTTTAAAGCTTATAGATAAATATAATAATAATTAAGAGTTAATTAGGCTTATAACTTTAATAAATCCTATATATATTTAAAGCTAATAGTATTATATTTCTATATAATTTATATACTTAGGCCTATCTGACGTCAGTTAGGCCAGATATGCCTAGTGAATAAAAAATTAGAGTATAATACTAACTACATTAGGCTTAGCTAGTCAGGTGATAGTGTAAATATACGCGAATCATCCTGATTGGCAGCCTCAAGGTCATCCTTTTCTGCAACACTAATTAACATGGGTCAACATATGAATACTATAGCACAGCACTGATGCTCTTGTCCAGAACCTCCATTTGATCTATGAGTTCCGATTCAGCCTTTTTCCTTGCCTCTTCCCGTTGCTCATCAGTCAGTCTATGTATAATGAACGGGGCGGCCAGGTGGAAAGGACATATCAGTTGCTCAAGAGCCCGCCATTGAAAGAGTACCTCAATCCCGACCATATCGCTTGGTCGTTGCATTCCCCGTTTGACCAAATCAGCATTTAGCGTCCTTCCATTCCACCACAGATCCCCGGGAATATCGGCACTAAAATTACCCGAGAGGAGAGCTTGCGACAGCTTTCCATTAGTTGGATCCTCGCCATAGGGCCCCATGATGTTGCACCCTAGGTCCTGAAGCGATACCAAGAACTCATGAACTGGGTGTGCAATGGATGCGAAATCGAAATCGAGAAGTGCCGTAAGTTTGCTCGTTTCGGGATTGATCAGCATGTTATTCATTGCTATAGACGTCAGTGGGTTTGAGTCTATATCTTAATGTCGAGGTTTGTACTCACTAAGATCACCGTGGACGAGCGCCTTCTGCTCAGGTACAGAGAGTTTGAATTTATCAATCAAAGATTGAAGTCGTTGTCTGACGCCATTCTCTTGCCACCCTTTGATAACTGGGCTCATATCTGCATCATGAAGCTCATGCTCGAGTCGTGCCTTAAGGAGCATTTCGTAGGTGGACCAGGGCCCTCCACGTGTGATAGTCATTTCTGCACTTATAATTCCATCCTTGGCCACACCAAGTCCACCATAAGAATCAACACCTGGTGGAAGCGGGCAGTTTTGAAGCCCGGAAATCACGTCTGAGACTTGTTCAATGATAGACTCCCTCCTCACCTCAGATTGGGAATCAAAAAACTCATCCAGTGGTACACCAACCTTGTACTCCACCAAAGCCCACGGCAAGTCACCAGGCAGGCTAGGTTTAGAGCAAAAAGCATATATTGAGGGAACCAGATCTCCCAGACCAGCCTGGAAATTATCTAGTCCTTTTCGTGCAAGAAACATGGCAGCGACTTCGTTCTCGATGCGAGAAGCCCGGGGATTGATGCCCATGGCTTCGGGATTGCTCATGCGAAGAATGTATACCAACGCCCCATCAGAAGGGGGAGTAGTGCAGGGATTGGAAATTTGATCTGGTCCACGAAAAACAGAACTTTCGGCAGGCTTTGATAGTTCTATTTTGTAGATGAAGTTGTTGTAAGGACACGGTCCTAGTTCCTGGTATGCCACTGGGGTGATATTGGACACCTGGAGGTTGTACTGCTGCAGGATCCTTTTTAATTGCTCAAGGCGACTCTGGTAGCCTCTGTGGTTGATATCTGACATCGTGAAGTATTGTTGGCTGGAAATCCTTTCTCGAGATGAGTTATATAAATAGTAACTAATAGATGAATTATGTTATGTGGTCTGATCACCTATATTCCTGAGAGCTTATGGTGATACTGCCTAGCTACGTAGTGGCCCGAGGGGTTTAGTAACAACGTGGTTAATAATCCAGTATTAATAATAATAGTAAGCATATAGATATATAATATATTATAAATAGTATTTAAGCTAGTATTATAATTTATAAACTAGTTTTAAGGTTGTGGTATGGTTATATAAACTAGTTTTAAGGTTGTGGTATGGTTATAAAATAGTTATAATAGTTATAATATAGTTATAGTAAGGTTATAAAATAGTTATAAAAGATAATTAATAATAAAAAATTAATATAAATATTAATATTGTTCACTACCACAATTAATACAAGAAAATTATTAGTTATTAAGAGAGTTTTAAATAATTATATATCTAT